GTGAAACCCCATCTCTACTAAAAATACCAAAATTAGCTGGGCATCGTGATGTGCACCTGTAGTCCCAGCTACTTGGGAGACTGAGGCAGGAGAATCACCTGAACCTGGGAGGTGGAGGTTGCAGTGAGCCGAGATCATGTCACTGCACTCCAGCCTGGGTGACAGAATGAGATTTTGTCTCAAAAAAAAAAAAAGTCACACAGAGTTGCTAGATTTCACTGCTGCTACAGAGCATTGCATGGAGAGAACATCTGTTGGGTGTTTAACTAGGCACCTTCACAAGCTCATCTTCTCCTTCCAGGCAGGTAGAATGAGCCCACTTTTACAGCTGAGGAAACTAAGACTGAGCTAGTGAAGGGCTTAACCAAGCTCATGGAGTTAGAAAGCCACACAACCAGGATGAGAATCCAGGTGCTTCTGACACCAAAGTCCCAGTGCAGAAAGGAAATGAGCGTCTTTGCCTTGTCCCGATGCCAGAGCCCCGGCGCAGAGGAGAAACGAGCCTCTCTGCTTGTCCCCGGCTTTGCTGGTCGGCCTCCAGCGTGGCACACTAGACATCCGGTTTAGCCAAAGCAGGCACTGCATGTTACATTCGGGTTTATATTCCAACTTACACAGTTCTCTGTACGTTGTACATGAGCCAAGTTTCCTGAATTGAAGAAGAGAGTCACCCAAGCGGCTTGCCTCCACGCACAGAAATCTGGAGTTTTAGATGTCTGCACGTGAAGCTATATCAACATAAGAATAAGCTGATACCAAGAAGTGGGAAAAAATTTAAAAGGACAAAACTCTCAGAAATGAGATAGATTAAGTAAAAAAAAAAGTATTCGATGCATTTTTTTTTTCACTTGGTTTCTTTTTGTTTAGACGGAGTCTCGCTCTGTCGCCAGGCTGCTGTGCAGGGGCTCGATCTTGGCTCACTGTGACCTCCGCCTCCTGGGTTCAGGCTGTTCTCCTGCCTCCGCCTCCGAGTAGCTGGGACTACAGGTGTGCGCCATCACACCCAGCTAATTTTTGTATTTTTAGTAGAGACAGGGTTTCACCATGTTGGCCAGGCTGGTCTCGAACTCTGGACGTCGTGATCCGCGGGCCCCGGCCTCCCACAGTGCTGGGCGTGAGCCACTGTGCCCGACCTTTCACTTGGTTTCCTATGAAAAAATTAAAGAGAAAATCTGATTGACACTGCGGAGGCTACTACACGAAAAAAAAAAGTGCTCTCTTTCCTAATGTTATAAATGTTTTTTCCTGAAGCTTTTGCCGCTTTTTCAAAATCTAGAAGAAACAAGGTGGTCGATTCCTTTAATTTCAGGAGCCTGTAACAATGTTTTTGAAAAAATAAATTAAACTGACAGTTTCATTTGTAGGATTGACTTTAATAACACGCCTCTACTGAACGAATGGCGACGAACTGGGGAAAATGGAATTACGGTAACCGAGGTCACGGGGTCGGGGACTCCCCTTCCTCCGCCGCATGCTGGTGGCGCGGCGAGAACGCTCTGAGGAGGTTTGGTCTGTCGGCCACGCCGTAGGTCGCGGTGCATTCTGGGTCCTGGCAATATGGCGTCCTCCTTGATGTGCTGATGAGAGGAGTTTCACTGTAGCTCCAAACCAGAGGGCAAAGCTCCCCTGACCCGATAAGCCCACATTGTCCGTTTTCTCCGTGGTTCCGTGTCGCCCGTTTCTCAGGACTCGTTCTCAGGCAGGAGAGAGCCTCTGGGCTGAAGGCCAGGACCAGCCAGGCCGTGCGGACGTGAGGTTGAGGAACCGGGTGCGGGCGAGCACGATGGGCCGGTCCTGGCTCTGGTTGCAGCAGCTCAGGCGAGTGCGGGACCCGCAGGGCTGAGAGTGGCTAGAAGAGACCCAGGGCCCTGTGAACCCGATCCCTTGGCCGGAGACCTCAGCCCAGGCGGCCCAGTGGGCGAACCGGCACCAGCAGCGGCCTGCCTGATCCTCGGATCTGCTGAGGCGTTGGAGGCCGAGAGCAGGGTCATCGTGAGGCCTGAAGTCTCACGCTTTTGACAGCTCGGCTCGCCGCCCCTCTGGAAACGTACAGCCTCAGGAGCAGCCAGTGGCTTGGGACCTGGGGTGGTGTGTGTCTGCGGAGCTTCTTGGGCTGCCCCATTTTTCAGCGGCCCCCTCCCCGCCTCCCGCTCAAGAGTTAGAGATAAGGATCTCAGACTTTTTGCCGGAGTAAGGGTCTCCGCACTCTCTATCCCTTTCTTTTTCGATTCTCCGTTTTTCTGTTTCTTATTTCACCAATTCTGGTACACACTAGTTTTTAAGGCTGGAGGTTCTCGAGCGCTTACTGCCAAGGACTCCCCCACCCCCTCCCCCACTGATGGAGTCCGAAATGCTGCAGTCGCCTCTTCTGGGCTTGGGGGAGGAAGATGAGGCTGATCTTACAGACTGGAACCTACCTTTGGCTTTTATGAAAAAGAGGCACTGTGAGAAAATTGAAGGCTCCAAATCCTTAGCTCAGAGCTGGAGGATGAAGGATCGGGTAAGTGGATTCTGATGGCACCCCTTGAACTTGGTAGTTTCTCCAACAACGAAAGTTTACAGCCCGAAAAGTGTCCTTAGTAAAGCGCCAACATTTCCCCCAAGCCACACATTGTAAGTCAACTAGAAAGCAAAAGCCATTTCAGACTGCAGTTTTTGATTGAAAATGGGAAAGGCTGTTTTGGTTCGTCGTTATTCACTGTGCAGTGTTAATTCAGTTCCAACTAAGTTCTAATTCAGACAATAAAAGTTAAACAAATTTGAAAATACAGCATTGCGAGTATGGTATGCTCTTTGGCATACTACTTAGTTCTGTTAGCACTGAGATTCACGACGTGTGATATAATGCTTATACCCACATGGTTAGTCTACTTGTAAAAATATCCAGGGTGGGTGGGTGAAGTGCAGAAGTCTGATAGAGTATGTTAGGAAACGAGATCACTGGAAAATGTTCAACTAGTAACAAATTAGTGCAGTTATTTTAAAGTTACAATGAACTTCATTCTAGTCTTCTAAGCAGTTTGTCCTGAAGCTGGACTTCCCTGCTTTTATGTAGTGTCCTGTTGCTGTAACTTGGAGATAGAATTTCTTTAATTGTGCAGTTAGGGTATGAGGGCTTGAGACTTGGGTGCAGATTTTAGGGTGTCCTCATGGTGCTGGAGTGTGGAGAGTGAGTCACAAGCAGCTGGTAGGAAAGAAAGCCGAATTTTGTTGAATCTTTCCTTCGTAAAACGCCATCTATTTCCTGGTCTAAAAAGCAAAAGGGTGATACTGCTTCTCATCTGTGGACACTTAAAATTTGTCTTTCAGTAAGTATTTTCTCCTTCCAGGCTGCTTTTAATGATTTGCACATTTCAGTGGTATAAAAGAGGAAGTTGGTGTTACAATGTTTGATTTCCTCTAGGCTTATGTATATGTTTATGGAATATTATTGTTTTTTAGTATATGATGTTGGACATATATAAGATTACACTGCTGGGCTGAATACGGTGGCTCATGCCTGTAATCCCAGCACTTTGGGAGGCTGAGGTGGGTGGATCACCTGAGGTCAGGAGTTTGAGATCAGCCTGGCCAACATGGTGAAACCCTGTCTCTACTAAAAATACAAAAATTAGCCAGACCTGGTGGTGGTGCCAGTAATTCCAGCTACTCGGGAAACTGAGGCTGGAGAATTGGGAGGCAGAGATTGCAATGAGCTGAGATCGCACCATTGCACTCCAGCCAGGGAGACGGATTGAGACTGTGTCTCCAAAAAAAAAAAGATTACACTTCTGGTAACTCTAGCCAGAAGTCACCAGTAACTGGTACTTTAGTTACTGATTTGGCTTACTTATAAAAGGTTAGGAAAATTTGTTTCATCCAAAAGCAGTTTAAGGAGTTAAATAAGTTAGTCATTGGTGGAGGTTTTATAAATTCTGTCTTATGGACATCTTTAATACTAATAATATAGTTAAAAGCTTTTGTGGTTGCTATATATATATATGAAAAGACTTCTTTTTTTCATTGTATGTGGAGGGTAGTGTTTTTTTTTGTTGTCGTTCTTTTGAAATGTGGTTCCCCGCTCTGTCGTAAACCTATGTTCCAACTGTTTGAAACTGATTAACAGGTAGATTTTGACCTTTTAATTAAAACTTTAGTTTGTGAATGATCAACATTCCCTAATAAGCTTTTCACAGGTTGCTAAGAGAAACAAAAGTTCTGTGACTTTTAGTAACCACAGAGATTGCGACTTAGAAAGGAGCCAGGGAGAATGTTTGCTGTATCTGTTTCCAATGGAGAAAAACAGCAGCTAACATCTTCAGTTGAGTCTGTGAGAGTCTGGAATCTTGCAGTCTCTTCCGTCAGGTCAGACCTTGAGCGGACATTTTCACACACCCTACTAGGACAGAAGTGCATAGTCAAATGACAGTAGGAGTGGGAAGGTAGCGTAAGTGAATTTAGGAAGCATAATGGCATAGGTTCAAAGTTAAAGATAAATGGCAGCTGACATTGAACACAGTGTGTGTGACAGTTTCCAGAGGGTGGGAACAGGGGCTCCCTGGAGAGTACCTGCCACAGCTGAAGGGGCAGCTGGGCCTTGGCCAGCTCTCTCTCTTTGTCTTTGAGAAGCCAGCAAAGTGTTTTTTTTGTTTTTTTTTTTTAATGTAAAGTCTTCCAGTTTTTAAATATTGGTACTAATTCAGATATATTACCAAACATGCTGTAGTCCAACACTGCAGGCTCAACAAACCCCATTTGTGGAGTGCTTTTTTTCTTCCTTTCTTTTTTCTTTTTTTTTTTTTAGACAGGGTCTTGCTCTGTCATCCAAGCTGGAGTACAGTGGTGAGATCACACAGCTCACTGCATTCTTGACCTCCTGGGCCCAAGTGAACCTCCCACCTCAGCCTCCCCAGTAGCTGAGACTATAAGTGTGCACCACTGTACCTGGGGTTGGGGAGTCTCACTATTGCTCAGGCTGGTCTTGAACTCCTGGGCTCAAGCAATCTTCCTGCCTTGGCCTCCAAAAGTGCTGGCATTACAGGCGTGAGCCAACATGCTCAGCCTGGGGTGTTTTTTTTTTAGATGGTGTTTCATTCTTGTTGCCCAGGCTGGAGTGCAGTACTATGGTCTTGGCTCACTGCAACCTCCGCCTCCTGGGATGGAGCTGTTCTCCTGCCTTGGCCTCCCATGTAGCTGGGATTACGCCCGGCTAATTTTTTTGTATTTTTGGTAGGACAGGGTTTCACCATGCTGGCCAGGCTGGTCTCGAACTCCGGACCTCAGGTCATCTGCCTGCCTCAGCCTCCCAAAGTGCTGGGATTACAGGTGTGAGCCACATGCCTGGCCCTAGGGTGTTTTTTGGCCTCCAGGCCACACCATCCCACTGTGCTGGACATGGCCTCCAGTCTGGTGGAGCAGCATGTCTGTAAAGTGAAATGTGTGGGCGTGGTTGTGCTAGGAGCTACAGCAACTACTTCCTGGTGGCCGCAGACTGTCCTCAATGACAGCTGAGATTTTGCTTCTTCCTGTGATTAATGTGCAGTTCCTTACACTTTTATTTTGTATATATACCAATGATTACTTACCGGCGTCGTATTTAGTGGCCATGCTACAGATTCCTAAAATTGACATCTTTACCAAAGTTGACTGACTGATGACTCCAAGAAGTTTTTTTTGCCACTCAGCACTTAGCATCCTTCCAGAGCTACAGCCCATGCCCACTCTCCATTGGATTCCTGTCATCTTTGTTTGTTTTGAATCGGTCTTGGTTTTCAAATGCCACTTTTACCACATTTTAATTACTAAGTTACTGTTAGTTTAAAATTATTATTATCAAATGAGTTTGTTATTTGGTTAATTCTACTATGTATAGTGAATGATGCATACATGTATCGATAGTATTTTCAGCTTGCAATTTTCAAATAACTAGACATATATGAATTGTAGTTCAAAACGAGTCATTCACAGACCTTTGACTAAAACAGATATGTATATATCTCTCCTATTTGTGTTTAACTGTGATTAAACACAGTTAATCACAGTTAACTGTGATTATTATGTTCCAACTGTTTGAAACTGATTTTTTTTTTTTTTTTTGAGATGGAGTTTTGCTTTTGTTGCCCAGGCTGGAGTGCAGTGGCAGGATCTCAGCTCACTGCAACCTCTACCTCCCAGGTTCAAGCGATTCTCGTGCCTCAGCCTCCCAAGTAGCTGGGACTACCAGTGCATGCCACCACGCCCAGCTAATTTTTTGTATTTTAATAGGGATGGGGTTTCACCATGTTGGCCAGACTGGTCTTGAACTCCTGAGCTCAAGCAGTCTTCCCACCTTGGCTTCCCAAAGTGCTGGGATTATAGGCTTGAGCCATCACACCCGGCCAGAGGGACCTTTTGAATGTGTGAATCAGATTCTGTTACTTCCTTACTGGTGGTCTCCATTTGCTTTCTCTGTGCTTAAAGTAGAACGCAGACTCCTCTCACTGGTTCACATAGCCTTCATCATTTGGCCCCTACCTGTCTTTTCTGCTTCTCGGATAGAAATTCCTGGAATGCTCTTCCCCTGAACTTTGCACACCTAGCTCCTTCTGGTCTTCCATACTCAGTATCTAGGTCCCTTCCTCAGAGTGGCCCACCATCACCCCATCTGAAGCAGCCACCTTGTCACTTATAATCCCTTGTGATGGCTTTTTAGTTCTCTGATGTTTTTCTCCCTACTTCCTGCTGGAGGTGTGAGCTTTTCATCATAAAGCAGAGACCTAGTCTAGTCTATGCTGGTCCATAGGATAGTAGTGCTTGGCACATAGTAGGGATTCAATGAAAATAGACTGATAAAAAATGGGTAGTTTTTTTTTTTTTTTTTTTTTATCAGTATAACATAGTTATTTTTATCAGTGTAAAGTTATCTTTATGGCTCGACAGCATCATAAATTGCCTAGTGACCATTACCTCCATGTTATTGATGAGGCACCTGAGGTTGTAATTGAATGGCTTTCCACAAGTTACGTAAGTTACATGGCTAGCAGTGAGAGGAAGCGGAACACGTCCAGAGGGAGAAACAAAGTTTAGTTCAAAACAAAACTGTATCTATCATCATGTCTCAACTGAAAAATTTATGTTAAGAGGTCATGGGGTCTAAAACAGACAGCAGACCAGCATGCGGCAGACAGAATGATGCTCAGTCTGCTCACGGCATGTGCTTGTGCACCAGGGCTTCCCCTAGACCCTTTGCAGGGATCCACGAGGTCAAAACTGTTTCCATAATAATAGAACACCATTGGCCTTTTCCACGCTGTGGATATCTGCACTGACGGTGCAAAAGTGATGAATCAAGACAGCCATGCCAAGCTGTACTAATAGTTCCTAATTTCTTTGCCATGCACTTGGAGAGAATGTCCTTGATAATAAAGCAGTGAAAATGATGACTTTGACTGAATCTTGACTCTTAAGCACACATCTTTTTAAGACTTTGTGTGCTGCTCCTTCTGCTGCATGACAAGCCCAGTGGCTGCCTGGAGGAGGAGC